GAACCTACCAGGCGTGCAGAAGGTGAACACCAAGGGGCTTGTTGCAGCCAGCATGTGTTTTTTCAAAGATCTGACTGGCTGTTGAGGGCACCCCACTGCCCTGACACAGTATTGGTGACTTACTTCAGAAAGACATGCCATCCTACATAATGACAGTCGCAGTTGTTTGTCTTCAAGGGCAAAGCTGTCAGGGTTCCCTGAATTCCCTCCTCCCTTGAACCAGCAGCCATTAGACCTGCCACAGTGTCCCCAATCTAGAATTGGATTGTCTTCCCCTATATGCTCCTACATGTTACTTTTGGGAAACACAAACTGATCGGGCTTTGCGTTGAGATAAATGACTGCCCCTACCCAGGCGACGAAGCATTTCAAGCTGCAACCTAGTAAGTACGACAATGACATCTGCCTCTGTCTATCCCTGATGCGTAATGTATCTCTACGTAACTGCAACAACGTGATGATATGTTACCAGTACATTATGAGAACACACAACATATTCACACACTGACGCGAAGCACGAAAGAGCAACGTTGAAACGTAGTATCATGGCGATATAAGGTAAGGTTCAAATGGTTCTCATCACCCTAAACTCTACATTCTAGACCCTACATTCCTGACTCAGGTTACTTGCACAAAACCTTTGTGCACATCGACCATGAGGCTGCGACCTTTGTGTGCCGTCCCTGCCATGGAGATTGCAAGGGCACTTGCTACTTGACTCTAATCAGAAGGAAGTGAAGGAATCGGCTGCAGAGTCGCTGTTCAGATGTAGATTTCGGGTTCTAGGAATAGGGGCCACCGCAGAGATCTGCATGATCATGTTGCTATTATAGGTGTAAGATAACTAAGGCGCATCAGGATTGTTATTATCATCAGACCGGTTTCTGGTTGTTGTAGTGATATTCATGGCGATGATAGCAAATGTCCATGGAACAGAATTAAGGCAGGGGGTGTGGGGCATCCCGTGGTTCCTATTGCGATCTACAAGAGAAGGGACCATTTCAGCTTCATTTCGTTGCTCAACGGAGAGTTTGTTAGGTCTCAAAGTCTTCTAGGCATGAAAGCATTACCTTATGGAGGCTTCTCAACACGAGTACGGGGTGCGGAATATGACTTTCTGCATGTAAGAAACCGGTGAAACTTCGCAAACAATCTTCATGACACCTTGAAGGTTGATCCTGACAACTGTTTCTGTTTCCCCAAACTTTTCTGGGGTCTGCAAGGCTACCAATTTCTTGAGAAACATTACGACAAGGCTATGGTCCGGGCAGCCACGATTGCGAGGAGGTCGTGGAGAATCTCAGATTTGCCTGAAGGCATTGATTTCTAGGGCTGAGGAATATGATGTGGACTTCAGCGGGATTCTGCAAGGCTTACTCGAGGGAGCATAGTTCAACATAGACTAGGGATGCATGAAAGATGTATATGTGCATATATGTCTATATCTACACAGTACCATAAGGATGTTCACGCTCCCGGTAGTCCTATGACTCAAGACCCCACAACTCACAGCTTGCAAAGGCAGAACTGCAAACCCCAAGCCACGTACCCCAACATTCTGAAACCCTGACGCCTGAACCCTTAACTGCGAGATGTGGAGGGGGCCCCTATGGTGAAGCCTGACATTCCAAGGGGCAGGGACCGGTTTGGTGTTGTAGCGTCTACCTACCAAACATACTTGGCCCCAGAATCTGAGAATCCATCCATCGGTCCCAAACAAGGAAGCGAAAGCGGGTGAGAAACCGAGTGCCTGTCACGCTGTTCCAGGACTCTTCCAGGCCTTTTTCAAAGCTTCTGTTGGATATCCTGACTCCTCCAAGCTTTCAGAATTGGTTGTCACGCGGTGAATAGCTTCTTCTACCACAGTGTCAAGTATTTTCTGTGGGCCGGTAACGTTTGCACTGTGACGCACTCTTCAGGTATGTGTGTCGCCAACGCACATCCAGGGGCACAAGGTCTGGCACGCACGCAGCGGCATTTGCTAGGCTGACCTTGCTGCCATAAGCGCTTTCAGTATGCTGCCCAGGTCTGGGGAATGTTTTTCAGGTTCTGCGGAGGCTTGAGCAGGCCTGTGCGACCCGAGTCGGAAACATGACCTGCGGGGCCCTGTACGGCATTGGCGCTCTGAGAATTTGACTGCAATGAAGCTGTGTCGTGGGGCCGCATACAGCCTTTCTCGCTAAACTGCAACATTGCATACAGGAAAAATCCTCGGAAAATGTATGAAGAAGCCGCAAAGCTCTGATTGTTTCAGGTGGCGGTAGGTTTGCGGTCGAGCGTGCTCACAAATCGCAATTCCGCTTGGCATGCCCTAAACTTAGAACATCTGGTGAGAACAGGACTCCAGCTTCAAACATTTCCGGCAGAGCTTTGAGGAGTTCTTCGCAACGCTGGCGAGGAAAGCCGGCAATCAAGATGCGCGCGTGCGTTTTTCATGTTGTGCCAACGGCTTAACAGGAATAATAATAGCAATCAACATGTAGCAGTCAAGAGAACAGTACTCACCGAAATAGTAGGATAGCCACATGACAGCACCAAAGAACGTACAACTGCTAGAAAACCTTGTGTTCGCTATGTTTTGCTATACTTGGTAAATCTTGGCATTGTAGTGAAGACTAGATGCAATGCGCCAACAGCAATAATTCTGTAAGCATACAGGAGATCAGAATTCTTGTGGCACGAGTATGGCTGTACGAACAGTACTTGCAATAGGAAAGATAAGTGCCAGAAACTACTGTTAGGAACGCCAGCCTCACCTGGATGCCACCAACTTTACCAACAACACCGTACCAGAAGAGATGCTCGAATGCATGGACACCGGCGGGTGCTCCGTGGAGAGCACCAACGTCACGGAGACCGATGGCGACTTGGAGTTCGAGAGCACGACCGCTGAACTGTCGCTTGCTTTTTGTAAGTAGTAATGAAGACAAGAATGGATCATGAGTGTGATTACGGGTATGCCTATTCATGCATATTGTATCAGCAAGGCTGTCAACATCCATCTGCACAGAATGCTCATGAGGATCCCAAATGTTACCCATGTACTTAGCCCAGTTTGCGTTCCCTACCAACAACATGCAAGGTTCGCAATGACCCCCGACCCTGCCGCGGGAACTGTGGACGTGCGTACGTTGCACTCCGGTGTCCAGAATGCCATTGATGCAGAGCTGACGAACCGTGGCTTGATCCCAATTCGAGGGGACATCGACGAGAACCACACCCGCGAGGCAACAAGAATTGCATAGAATTCAATTTCCACAGAATTGGTAGACTAATTAGTGAATTGCTTTATTTTTGGTTCTCACGGAACGTGTTATCATGAGGTCATGAATACTGATGCCATCAAGACTGATATCTTCATTTCGGTATAGTTGTCGTCGTTGTCCTTGTTTTCAACACCAACATTAACCTTTTTCCTTGTAATGCCTAGGTGCCCATGGTGGATGCGGAACAGGAGGATGGCAAGATCACCAGTGAGCCGGCAGACCAGCTGGCGGGCAGTTTGCTGCAGATGATGGAACAGGCAGAGGGAACTCAACAACTGCAATGGTGTTGGCGTTAGCAATTGCTGCAATAAGAAGGCAGCAGCAACATCAATATAACCAAAGGTTGCAGCCAAGGCAAAAGTGACTGCACCAGCAGCAACCCCAATGACAAAGACATTACGCCTTTTTATCAATGTTCAAGGAGGACAGGGCCGAGAGCTACTCACCACCGGCAACAAACACAAATCCAACAGTTTTGTCAGATGCCAGGAAAGAGGATCATAAAGATGGCACCAACACTGAGCCAGCAAGGACATGCGCAAAAACAGCAGTACATACAAACAACGACGACAACAGCAATAACAATGTTTTCGAACCAAAGAACAAGATGTGGCTGCTGCTGTCACTGCCACTGACTGCTGCCACTACATTATTACTGCAAGTATGCGCTGTTTGGGTGGTTCGCCCTGAAACATCCAAACCGAGCGTAAGACGGCCTCTTTGGATGGTTTGTTTGGGGAGATGAGCAATCGAGTAAGAAAAACTAAAGCGCTTGCAGGGGTGGTGTTTTCAGGCCCGGGTGTGTACTAATGTCATCCTCCAATCAACGAAAAGGCGACCCTCTGCGACCCTTGGCATGGTCAGATCAATGGCCGTTACAATGACGCTAGGTAGGCTGCATCTATAATGCAGCTTGCTGGTCCCGCTGTGCCTCCTCTGCTGCTGCTGCTGCTGCATCCATGCCCAAATCATACTAACGTTCTTGTATATGTTTATCAGAGCATCCACGCCCGAACCATGGTAGCATTCATGTTCCAATAGCTGTTCATGGTCACAAAAGCATCATGCCCACAGATGCCCACGTTATAATGACGTTCGGTGTTTCAGGTGGCTTTGGCCACCAGAGCATCCACTCCCACTACATAATACAGTAACGTCTGTTTTGCGAGTGTATACAGTAAAGAGCTGCGCGCGCTTCTTAGACTGTGAGCGCCTGTGGGTTGGTCCCATCAGCGCAGTCATTTCAGCACTTTGAAATGCCAAACGCATTATGCTTTGCGCCATTTGCGCATTACTAAATCCTTAAAGCAGAGCCGAAGACGATAGAAACAAACAGCTGAATGTGGCCACGTGTCCTAGATCCTAGTGGTAGAGTAGTAGTAGTAGTAGTAG